TTCAATTAAATGTGGGATTCTAGAATGGAAACTATGCTGTGGTTATTTTATAGTCAGGGTAAGCTTCACATTAGAGAGAGACCTTCTTTCGTCATATGTTAAGAAATTCCCAGAATGTTTCATCAAGATCAAAACTATTCATGCGCTCTGTCTCATGCAAAGGTTTTTCAGCGGAGCTCATCGACCTTTTCCTACAATGGCAGACTTCAAGTAAAATTCTAGCATGTTCTCTACCATTTTTGTCCAGTATTTACTCATAATTAACTACTTACTTAAAAATTCTTGTACTTTACATTCCTGCAGGAACTACAGGAAAATATATGTTTCATTATATTTAAATAGTTTAAAATGTGGTTTTAGACATTCAGTGTATATTACTTTTGAAGAAACACAAACTGACTATAATGTGTTGTACCATATGGTTTTGCCACTGGGGGCCAGAGTGTATAGATGCTATAGGAATAGTCAACCTAAAAACGTGACGATCCACATCAAGCTTAGATCAGATCATGGTTTTACAAATGAAAGCAGTCTTCCAAACAATGAATGAACGTAGTTCTCCAACTAAGCCCAAGAGGATTCTAACTTACTTAATACATGAATTTTAACTTGAGGGACTCCTTTTAAGGATTTTCCCCCCACTTCTCCCCCTAGTTCAGGCTATAGCTCACAGTGGGTGTTTAACAGCTGTTGTTGAGTGACAAACATAAAATAATGTTTCCTCGTTTTCTCTGGCCCCCTTTCAATCTGTTTTGTCAAAGTTACTTTACAAAAATAAAAATCTAACAGTGCCACCCTCATCTTCTCCACAATACTCCCTCATTCCTTTTCCAGTATTTGTATAATGAAGGTGAACAGTTCAGAAGACCCAGCACAGCCCGACCCTACTACTCTCTTGAATATGGATTCAGAGCTAGCTGAATATCTAGGCTATATTTACCAGTAACATGAACACAATGCCAAATTCTGTATAGACTTCTGCACTGAGTTTACTTAGTTAACACTGTACCTCCACGTTTATCAGGTCAAATGTCTCTCATGTTTCAGATTCAAGTTTAATAACATCTCCTCAGAATAACCTTGGGTTAGGCCTTCTCTCATTACATAGTATGCATACTATGTTGTGCAGCCATTCATTAAAATACACCCTTATTTTAAAAGCACATTTTTCAAAAAAGAAAATAACATCCCTTCTCAATAGAAGATAAGATAAGATCTGTAAAGATAGGAGCTACTTCTGAGCTTATTCACCATTTTATTCCATAGACCTAATACTCTGGCATGTGCAAAGAAGCCAACCAATATTTGTTAAAGAAAGAAATGACTAAAGGAATGTATGAATGTGTATGGTCAACACATTGGTCTCAGTATAGTCACATAAAAGAGGCATCATCATTGACATTTGCCATAACCCCAAGACCAGTAACATTAAGGAATGATGTGTGCTGATAGCAAATTAAATACAGAAACTGAATGGAAATGACACCATCTACTATAAAATGCTATCATGTGACCCTAAAAATATCAAGGACTTAGATTTGAAGATACTACAGAGTGTAACTTAATTTCTTATTGATCATCTTTTTATCCTTATTTCTTGATGGTCAGCCATGAGATTCACTAATTTTTTTTCAAGCTACTAGGAAACTATTAGTACACTTAAGTAGAAATGTATTAAATAATAATGGTGCAGAAGCACTTAGATGAACACGATACACTGAAAAGGCCACGTGCTCCATAAGCATCCATCATTCAGGAAGGATGACACTGTCAGACAGCTGAGTTCTGAGACTAAGCTCTGATGTCTCAGGGTCACAGACATCATTGATGCATAAACTAGCTGTTTCAGGAATAATTTGTATATCTATATTCCTCTTTGAATAACTCCTTAATCCTCTGCACCCCCCCCCCTCAAAAAAATGTGAATCTGAAGGAAGGAGGAGTCTTATTCAGCAGAAGTGAAGATATAGGATTTGGAACTAACATGCATTTGCTTATCCAGACTCCCCCACTAACCTGGCCATGAAACCTAAACTTTCTAGTGCTTTCTCTGCATCTGTACATATAAAAACAAATAAAATTTGCTAGGCCCAAATAAACACAGCAAGAAGGAAACAAATCATTTGACAAGAATATTCTAGACATTGATAGGTATAGGACTTGTCTCAAAATATTCTAGATGGGGAGGATAAAAGAAGAGATCATGCTCACTGTATTCTTACTGTAATTTTAGTAGTTCTTAATTGTTTTAAATAGAAGGCCACTAAAATTATATTGGACTTTTTAAATTAAGAGTAAAAAGAATTGTAGAGACTGGAGATAGTTTAAATCTCTGTTTAATATTTGCCTGCTTGTAATCTTTCCTCTAAGTTTTCTGTAATGCATGCATATTTATTTTGTTTTTGAATTAAGTTTCTAAAGAATGTAGCAATCAGTGTACATACTGAGGGAGGCAGAGGCTTGTTTATACTTCATCTGAATAGAAACCACCTCCCCCAGTTGTCAATGCATGATTGGTGTTGGGAGAGGCATCCACTCTCAATTAATTATTTAATAGTCACTTGACACACATGAAGCAGGGAAAACAAGTGAAGAGGAGCCAAGGCTCTGGGAAGACAGACTATGCCTTAATCATTCCGTCTTCCATTTCCTTGATGCTCAAAGGAATCCAGCCTGTGTTTTCCTCCCATGGTTAGTGATGATCTTTGTAACTCTCCTTTCACCTCAAATTTTCAAAACAAATCAATGCTCCAGAACAATCCAAAAGAATTTGCTTTCTTGGGTTGATTTTTCTAGCCATCATATACTATATGGTTTAAATATTCATCCTGGTAATCCCAAATTATTCACCTTACAGGAAGAACTAACCACTTGCCAAAACAAAATGCATTTTGGAAACATGTAATTCTGTTCTCTAACATTACTTTGTTTCCATGCGTTCACCAGTCCTGACTGTTCCTGATTATGCATGATCCCTGGATCCCTGCATTAAAATGCATAGAAATATTTTAAAAATTCATTTAAAAACACCCGCCCACACAGTACAAGCTGTCATTGTGTCATATTTGTTTCCTAATTTAAGAAAGGAAGTTATATTCCATCAAGTTTCATTCTTCATCATTTCTAGTGGCATTAGGGTACATAGAACAGTATTTTCCCATAAAAAATAATATTTCCTTATCTCTATTAATGAGTGGTAATGTATGCAACTTCAAATTGCATTCCTCATCTGAAATCATCTCATCTAGCTAAGGTATTCATGATTTATAATTTGGTCAGGGCTGGTAGAAGAAAAAATATGTTCTGTTTTATTTTTGTAAAACATAAAGTCTGATCTTATGTTCATGGAAATTTACTGGCAGTACTGAAGTGGGACATGGGATACAGTCATTTCTAATTAGCTATGCCAAAGTAATACCTAAAATGAAACTCCATATGAAAGTAAAGCACAGTTGATAACCCTTGACACCCTCCACCATTCCTATGAAGGCTATAGAACACTCTTAAATACCACTTATTTCTTCTTAACCAACTCTCCTTGCTATTTAAACAGTTACAAATTTCATCAAGTCTTCCTTTCTTTTACAGCCAGATGAGAGAGAACCACTAAGTCTAATAAGATTTGCAAAGGCTGTCTCCTATCAGCAGTGTCAGCAAAAAGAAAAAAAAAACAAAAAAAAAAACAACAACAAAAACACCAAAACCCAAAAAACAGACATTATACAATAAAACAAAGCCACACATAGAGGCTTTTCATCCCTATGGCTTTCAAAGTCAGATTTAATAATTCACCATCCCCACTTAAACCACAAATGCTATATATCGCTGTGTTAACTGCCTTGATATGACCCATAAACCAGCTCTATACTTTAAAGCTAGACAGCCTGCTTAGCTTCTGATGCATTCAGGTTTCACCCCATCCATATCACTCACTGTCTGTTCACAGGTTTTCCTATATTTATGCAACAATAATTTCCTTGGTCATTGTCTTATAAAGAAATGGAAGAGACACACAAAAAACTAAATTTTAGATGTAAAGGGGTGAAAATAAACCTTAGGTGTGTTTTGTTATTTAATTAATTTAGTTTTAAGCCCCAAGGACCATAGAAATTACAACTTGACTTCTGCCTTTCAGATAAAAGTCATTAACTGAATAGCCTTAGAAAATCTCTTATAATCACTCACATGCATCCTGTTTATTTGCCTGGAGAATCGTCCCAATCCAGCAACGTGTTTTTCTGACCAATACATTTGTTAGTCAAGAAATATGTTATTTAATCTCTAGTATTTCTAAACATTATCTAACCTGTCTTGCGGAAACCATAGAAATCACAAAATTCGACTTAAATATGGCAAATGGTGAACTGGAACATAACCATGGAAACCAATATTATTTCCTGAAGAAAATCTTTACATCCCCTCCTCTTTTTCCACAACCGAGAGCAGGTTTCCGTGCTCTGTCTGCAAAAAGCACTTCAGTGCCTGTAATTCTCGAGTGTGCTGTGAGCGGTGACCATGTGGACATCCTCGACTGTGGCCCTGGGGGTGCTTCCTCTGCATTTAATTTTTCACCAAACATATGTTCAATCTTCTAGACGCTTGTCTCTATCTTCTGAGCAAAGTTTGTATGGCACACTGTTGGTGGTGGTATAGGGAAGTATAATGTCATTTCGGTGGGTAGTGGCCACAGGAGCACAGGGACCAAAAAGTAACAGTGGCCTGGGGAGGCACTGAGGATCTACTGCCACTTAAACGTAGGGTGGGGCAGAAAGGGCCTCCTGGTAGGACTGAAGCCGGAAGTGAGGGCTGCTCCACCATTAAGGGGCTGGGAAGGGAGGAGCTGTCTGGGGAAGGCCGAGTGACCTCGAGGGACAGGTCTTCACCTCGAAGCGAGCTGCCACACACGTCCGGAGGAGGAAGGCCCCATGCACCAGCCCGGCCCGCCTCACCTGCATCCCTCCCAGCCCAGGCCGAGGCTCCCGGGGTGGGGCAGGCCTTACCTTGGCTGCAGTCCTTGCCGCGGAAGCCTGTTCTGGAACAGTCGCACACTGCCTGGTCGTCCACCACGGAGCACACGCCTCCGTTGAGACACACGCCACCCTCGCCCTCGTCACCCGCCTCGCACGGGCTCCCGCCGCCGCTGTTGGGCGGCTCGTCGTCCAGCTTGACCTCGCCGCTGTCCACGGGCAGCGCCTGCGAGGAGTTGACCTTGACGTCCCGGATCCAGCCCTTGAAGGGCTCGCGCTCCCTGACGGATGCCAGCGTGAGCTTGAGCGCAGCGGCTCGCAGTTCGGGGGGCAGCCCGCCCACGAACAGCCCACTGAACACCGTCATGTCCCTGCGCTTGGACTTGACCTCCACCCACTTGGCCTCCGTCTGGTCGATGTACAGCGTGGTGTTGCGGAACTGCCGACGGATGCGCACGCTGTGCCACGCGCCGTCGTTGACCGGGGTGTCCGCCAGCAGCGTGGCGGGCTCGGCGCAGAAGATGGAGAAGCTGAGCTGCAGGCGGCCGCCCCGGGTCAGGATGAGCTCCAGAAAGTCGCAGAAGCCCTCGTCGTCGAAGTAGAGCACGAGGCCGCGTGCGCTGCGCGTCTTCAGCTGGAAGCTCATCTCGCTCTCGCAGCACGCGTTCCACTTGGGGAAGCGCGTCCACTGGCCCTCGGCGCCTGGGAACTCCAGCCCGCTGCCCAGCTCTGCCCAGCAGCCCAGCAACAGCAGCGACAGGCACAGGAGAAAGCAACCCCCGCGCTGGAGGAGCGCCGTCCCCATGCTCGGGGCTGGGGTGCGGCGGGGGGGAGCCGGGGCCGACAGGGTCAAAATGGTCCTGGACACCCTCACAGAGAAATAAGGGTCTGCGGAGAAAGGGGGAGGAGGGGGCAGGCGGGACAGGGCGGGATGGGCGCCCTTTCAGCTCTTTTTTTCTTCTTCTCCTCTTCCAGCAGCCCCTTCCTGGCTCCCTGTAGTCCCCTTCCAACTGGAAAATGCAGACCCCAGTGGTACAGGGAAGCCGCAGAACTTCCAGGCCAAAGGGAGGATACACTTTGGAGGCAACGTTCTGAAAAAGGAGGCAATTGAAGATCAAGGGGAATCACTGACCCATTTGCATCCAATGGTCTAATTTAAGGGTATCCTTGGTGTCATCAAATACTTCACTCTTCCAATACCGTGACCTACAGAGGTACCGCCAGTGTGGTGCCCCTAAAGTAGAGTCAGGAAGAAACACTTTTCTCAGGAAGTAACTGGAAGCCAGCAGTGAACCAGGATCCTGGATGCTTGGGATGTTTCAAGTCCCCTCCAGATGTAGGCCCCAAGCACAGAGAAAGGTCACTACTGGTTAGCACTGGAGTAGCTTCAGAGACCTGCTGCTTGTCATTTCAAGGCTTCCAGCACCACTGCAGCCAAGACCAAGCTCCTTGTGCATAGCCTCCCAGGCTGACTTCATTTGGGATTTTAACCTCCCTGACAGTAGGACTCAGACCCAGTTGTGGAATAGCCAGAAGCTGTCAGCTGGTGAAATCACAAGTCTTCTTTTCTCACCTCCTCTGCAAGGCCACACCAAGATGCCAGCATATCAATAGGCTGTATGTTGGTGAAGCATTCTGATTTCACTTGGTCTTTTAATAAGGACCCAGAAATCTGCAGAAAATTAAAATAAAAAGTAAGACCTACAGTCAATTATAGTATCATATAAATCATTGCTAAACCCAGAAAGCAGATATACAACTGGTGGTATTAGTAAACCAAGGAAGTAACCTTATCGGGTACAGCTTTTTCGTCTGACTGACGAGCAAGGCCTAATGTTTCCTAATAATGAACGTCACAGTCTTATAGCAAGCTATTACAACCTTGTTGTAATCTGTTAATTAGTGGCTGGAATTTTAAATACAGAATTGATTATGATTATCTTTTCCTTTTTACAAGAAAGTTGTAATTTCTAAAATATGAGAGAATTCTAAGGTCCTCTTTAAGGATTTCTACCCACATCGAGTGCTAGTGAAATGGAGAGTCAAAATATAACCTATTCAAATCTCGTTTAATAGCAAATTTTATAACAGGCAAAGTAAATCAAACAGCAGCAGAATGCTGTCAGCTTGCGTGTGTGCAACGTTCCTACCATTTTATTTTCCTCTGAGGCAGCAGAAATATTGAGGGTTTCTTATAGTCTCTTAAAAGACTCAAACAAGTATATTCCTTTTTATCAAAGAAATACTGTACTGTGAAAGAAAACATCTAACTGGAGCCAAATATATATATTTTGGCAACATTTATGCCCAGCTGCCATAATATTAGTTCTTTTAAAGATGGCTCTTTAATATTTTGCCTAACAGTGTAGTGATCTGACTCCTCCTCAAGGTCCTTATCAGTCAGTCAGCCCTTAGAATCTGTGTGGTGAGAACAGCAGTTGGCATGTATGTCACCTCAGCTGCTATGGCTCCATGATGCTAGAATTTAAAACCATACCTTTGAATCACTCACTGTGCTAGTAAATCACTTCTTCCTGTTCAACTCTGTTATGATAGGTTTTTGAAATGGTACTGAAACCGTAAATCCTGATAATTTTTCTGAATTTTTGGAAGCCAAAAAACCTCACCTTTTGAGAAAAAAAAGTATCACTTGGCTATTCCATGCAAGCATACATTATCTCCTTCACCATTTCTCACTGTCCCCTCCACTCCCACTTACACACACACACACACACACACACACTCCAAATTTATTGCTTGGACACAGAAGCTCACTATCCAATTAACACATTTTTTTCCTACAAGCTGAAACTAGCAGTAATTTATGGCACCGCATTGTGCTGCTGCTTCTCTGTGGAGGGAGATGAGACCATTTCTCTTCAGTTCAGAGCAGTCCCTACAGGTGTCAGCTGAGAGCCATCAAGCTAGGGGATCCCACCTCAAGTTCCTCCCCAGATGAAATTAATGACTGGTTCTCTTATTTCAACAGACACAACACAGACACAGCAGACACACACACACACACACACACACACACACACACACACACACCTCACAGACACTGCACACACATCTACACTGCTCCCTAGCAAAAGGAAATAAAAGTCTCAGTTGCTTATTTATTATGGCTGATACATTCCATACCATCATCAATTACAAGTCATATCTTGTCTACTCCAGTGCCAAGCCCAAAGAAAGGTGCTCTTAAAAAAATCATCAATAATAGCATAGTATTCAATATACTTTTGTGTTTAAGTAGAGTGAAGAAAATGCTGAATTTTCAGTTACTGGCAAAATAAATCTGGGATATCACAAGAGTAGTGCTTGAAGCTCATTCTAGCCTGTGTTTCAGAAAACCTCTGAGTGTATATGTTGTCGGTGTGTGTCTCGTGTGTGTATGAGACCTTATTAGAGATTATTTTATTAATTTTGTCATACACCACATAACCTTTTTGCAACCCTCTCCTGCCCTCCTCCACTAATGCACACCTGGGCTATTTCATAAAGGATGGAGAAAAGAGGGGGAAACCTAGAGGAATGTATATATCTTACCACAAGGGAGGTTAACTGTCCCTCCCAGTTCCTAGAGGAAGCTCATTGTGTGAGAGTATCTGTATTTATATGGAGAGAAAGGATTCTCTCTGGGTGCCCGGAAAGACCTGGTGAGTTCACAAATTAGAGGATGAAATAAAGGGATCTGAAAAACAACCTTACTGCAGCCAAAACAAGAAGCGCTCTAATTCAAAAGCTGGCTAACAGCCTCATTAATCTTTCTTTCATTTCTGGAACAAAATTCATTTCCAAGTCACTGGAAGGATCAATACAGTATGCTGATCAGCTGCAGTTGCATTTATTTTAATATGATTTTAGTAACACACACAAACATACACACACACACACACACACACACACGCATCCCTTTCGCAAATCCTTTCAATATATATCCTCAAAAGAATCTGAAATTTGTGGGAAAAATTTTAGAAGTGCCTATTATTTTGCCCCAGGCTTTTGCAAAGTACCTCAATACCAAAGCACGCCCCAAATTCTCCCTGGCTTTCCCGCCCAGTCTCTAAGCACCATCTCCAACACCAGTGCAGTTTCTTGGACCCTGAAGTCTACTGCACAAATTAAGGATGGGCACTGTGAGGACTGGTGAGGAAGGAAAATACAGATATATGTCGATATGTTTTATTTTATATTTTGATTTTTAATTGGCTTTCTCTTTTCTTTAATAGATCACTGCATTTAGCCTTTAAGTTACTACCTAGTTCCACCGTCTCATATTCTTGTCATTTAGAAGGCTGCATGCAAAACATCCAGGTCTACACTCCTCCACCCTCCCACCACCCATTCTTCCTTGTGTATTTGTGGCAGATCCTGGCCCAGTTACAACGGGGAAAGATACCCTTCTCCAGCTTGCATCGCCCCATCCCCTCCCCCCAGTCCAAATCGAGCTTCTTTACCTGCCTGGTTATTCCCCTTAGCTCCAGCCAGAGCCTGAAGCATGCATCGGTCAAAGCGAATTTCCTGAGGTCTAAGGATAAGGCGACTGCTGCTGCCTTTTCAGAGGCGTCAGGCTTGAGCGTCTATCTCCAGGAGTGCAGGAGGGGAGAACAGGCAACGGAGGGGAGCAGGAGGAGGAGGTGGAGGAGGAGGAGGAGGCAAAGGAGGAGGAGGAGGAGGAGAGGGAAAAAGCAAGGAAGGAAGAGGCGGTGGTGGAGCCCAGGAAGGCTGGGTTACGTGACGCCGGGTGCTGTCCTTCTGAAAGAGAAGGGCGGAGCTGAGCTCTCCGCAGTACCATGGAGAGCGGCCGGCCGGTCCTGGGCTGGGGAATGGGTGGGTGGGCTCCGCCGGCCGACGCAACCCTTTCAAGTTGGGATGCTGAGGACCAAGGTGCCTCTACCTTTGCATCTTGCCCTTACTGGGAGAGCCTGAACCTGGGGGCGGGGACCTGCCGCAAGCGCTTCTAAGTAGTCACCAAGCTCCCTCCCCCAGCCGAGAGAGAGAGAGAGAGAGAGAGAGAGAGAGAGAGAGAGAGAGAGAGAGAGAGAGCGAGA